TACGAATGGCATGAGAAGTGCAACAGAACCAGTACAACCCTACAATTCCAAGCATCAGTGGGCTTGGAATTGCATCCTTCCTCTAGTAAAAGAAATGCAAATTTATATGGAAAAGAATGTGAATAGATGAAAAATTAAAACAGGGACTTCTTGTTCCAGCCAAGATGGGGTATTCCCAATTCTCCCAAGTCCTCTCTCCTACGACTAACACATTCTGAATATAGCACAGTTAACAGGCCCAGAAGGCCCCTCAAAGGTGGGGGGAAAAGGCAGACTGCCTAGGGACCTTTGGACTTGAATAACAACAGCAAGTTCCCAGGTTTTCTTTCATGCTTTCCATATATCCCAGACAGGGTTCTGGGAAAAACCTACAGCCCAGAACTACCAATGATCACAGACCCCCCCCCCAAAAAAGTGAGAAAAACCTGGTCCCCCTGGAAAAAGATTGGAAAGAAAAGGGCTTGACAGACAATGTATTTTGACACTAACCTCCCCGCTCCAGCCAAACACAGATGGAAAACCTCTCTGCCCACCCCCCCAACACACATTCAGCAGAGCCAAGTGGATAGCTGATTTCCCACCTGCCAAACAGCCCCCCACCCTACAGAAGAAGGTGGAAGTGGCAAGCAATGCTCCAATTCTCGTCACCCCAACCCCCAATGGTAGTAGCAGCAGGGCTGAGCCGGTAGCTATTTTTCTGTCCCCTGCCTGGAAGAAGCAGGCAGGGCTCTGATTTCCTGCTGGGTGGTGTTGGCAGAGCTGAGCAAGGAGCAGATCTCTATCCCCTGTGTAGCAGAAGCATGTGGTTCCAGTTCCCTCATGGGGAGAGTGTCAATGGGGTCCACGAGGGAGCTGAGCCTCTATGCTCACTTGGCAGTGATGAGACGTTACAAGGTGGTGCAAGGAGGGATAGCTACGGCAGTGGGCAGTCTGCTTTGCCCTCCGCCCTGTATCGAGGGTTGAGCAGACAGCAAGCGTCGACTCTCAGCCAGCAGCAACGAGGTGCAACAGCGGGTGAGTGAGACAGGGCTAGTCTACACTCCACCTTCTACCCATGCTTATACCAACAAGACACAGCTGGGAGCTGAATCTCCAACTCCAACCAACATCAACTAGGAGAAATGAGATGGTAGGAGGAGTTGTGGTCAGTTCATTGGTGTAGATTGGGGCTAATCAGCACTACCCTCCTTCCACTGAATGGATTTTAAAAAAGTGCTGGCTATATTCTGTCTTCAAGAAATTCCCTCCAAGTGTTACAGCTCTTTTAGAATTTGTCTAGCAGGTCTTCCGGTCCTTACCGGAAGGCCCCCCACACACACAAAAAAAAGAAATTCCCTCCAAACATAATGACATAAGTAGGTTGAAAGTAAAATAATGGAAAAATATATTATGCAAATTACATGATAAAAAGATTAACCCATCAGGAAGAAATAGTGATCATAAATGGGTATACATCTGTCAACCTAAATGAAAGAACACTAGAGAAAATTATTCCTAAATATGCTGGGTCTACTTGGAAATAAAAATAACGATTATAATCTGGAATGCATGAAATGACAAGCTGCCAGTATATTCTAAGAGGGAAGGGTAATGATAGCTTTTATTAGCAAAAAGAGTGACTTACATAAGCTACTTAGAAACAGAGTTCATTGGTTCTAGAGGTTCAAAGCCAGTGTTCTGGTCAGTTCTTTGGTGTAGATTCTGTTACCTAAAGGCTTGAAGAGCTCCCCTGTATACCATCTATAAAAGAAATATTTGAGGCACTTAGGGAGATTGAAGTCATGCACTTTGAAGATGGAGGAAAGGGTTGCGAGTATATATGTAGTCACTGGAAGCTGGAAAAGGCAAAGAAATATTCTTCTCTACAGCCTCCAGAAGGAATTATCCCTGCCCACATGTTGACTTCAGCTCAGGGAAACTGACTTCAGACTTCTGACCTCCAGAAGCTTAAGAGTCTAAATCTGTTGTACACCACTAAGCTTGTGCAGATTTGTTATTGCAGCAATTGGAAACTAACACACCAAGGAAAGGAGAGTACATAATAGGTCCAGGCAACAGCACTTTCATCTTCAAAATACATCCAAAGGAAAGGAACTGGGAAGAGACCAAATGGCCTGGACCGGCTCTTTGTCACTCAGTGAGAAGGGAAGGAATTCTGATACAGCCTTGGAGAATGTTGGTGCCACCCCTTGAAGGCATAAACGACTAAAAGGGTCTCAGAAGGCAAGGTTTCTGTATCCCCAGTGAATCTATGATACACAGTACTAGTGAATTTTCAAAAGCAAACTGCAGGCCCATATATATGCCAAGACCTCATTCTTGTTTAAAAAGTATATCTACATGTGTAAATAGCTATGTCTGCTTATGCTGACTGCTGGGTACCGCCTAACTAATCCCCACACCTCCTCAGTCTTTGCTCCAAGATCTCCTATTTAAAATTGCAAAGTGCACTCCAAACCCACACCCACCCACACAAGCTCCCCTAACCCCCAACCCAGCTCTATTTTTTCCATAACACGTATCACCTTATAACACGCTATGCCATTTATTAGTAGCCAGACACTGAATAGGCTATGCCATTTATTTATTATAATTATGGATTACTTGTTTACTCCACTAGAATTCAACACCCACGAGGACAGTGATTTTTGTGTAAGCGTCTTTAACAGCTCCTGTTACACAGCTGCCTCTTAAATAATATTTGTTAAACGAATGAACTTCAGAGGTGAGATGGAAGATGCCAAATGGTCAATATTTATTTCAGAATAGTTTTAAAGGTAAGGACAAATTATGGGTGTTATTTACCTCCTTTTCCTTCAGTAGCACTTTAACAGGTATTGCTAAAATAATTCTTATACGTCTGTGATATTAAAAAAAAAAAAAAAAAAAACTAGGAAAGCTTGAATGAAGTCGTGCCCGTGGCCAGGTCCCTCTCTCATTACAGCGCCCTCAGATAGGCCTGGACCGGCGCCGGAAGTGGGCGCCGGAAGTAGGTGCCGCCCGCGCGCGGCTCCCTGGGACTTGTAGTTCGGGGCCCGCCTCGCGGGAGCCGTCAGTGTCCGAACCCGGCGCCACCAGGTCTGGGATTCCACGTGGGAGGTGAGACCCACCCGGTCACCCGCGCCGCCGGCGGCGGCGTCCCGGGATCCTGACGTGGGTGTGGCGCGGGGGAGGCGCCGGGCCTCCGAGCTCCGGAAGGCGGGCGGGGCGGCCGTGGGAGGGCGCGCGACCTGCGGAGGCGCGGCCCGGGGCGCACGTGGATCCCGCGCCGCGTTTGCGAGCTGCTGCGTGCGCCCGGCCCCGCTGCGGTCACGCGGAGGCGGGCGGCTCCGAACCACCTTCTGTTGCCTGGGGTGATCTGGCCTGGGTGGGCCTCGGGGCTTCTAGCTGGCCACAGGGGCCTTTTCCACGCCAGTGACCCGGCTTATTCCAGCGAGGTCTTCGGAGGGCGTTAGGTGACGGACAGGGGCTCCTGTGAGGGAGGTTCTGCGCCACAGCACTGCCCTTGCCGAAGAGAGTCTGCTCCTCTGCTCTGAGAATGAGACTGGGGACGGCCTCTTGGGCGACCGCAACCCATCCCAAGAGGCAAAACGCGGGAGCTCCTACTCTAGCTAGAACTTGAGGGCAGAAAACCAAAGGCCTGCGAAATGGGCACATCTTAGAGCTGCTGGCAGCTGTGGAATTTGCTTAACCTTATGTGTTTTGGGAGAAGGCTTTGCCTGTTTGATCTAAGCCCCGTGGAGAGAGATGAGGGAGGTGACGGGAAAAGCGCCCCAGGAGAGGGAGTGCGAGAGAAGGGTTGACTGAAGAGGGGCCAGGAGCAGGAGCTGAGTAACTCCCTACAGTCTTGCTGGGCTGGCTAGTGTGTGTCCCGCAAGGTGGGCTTGGTGTTCGTGGCCCTTCTTCATTCCCTAACTCTGCCTTTCCAGGAATCTTCCCCTCCCTGAGGGGAGAAAATGAGCAGGGTCCTGGTGAATTGGGGTTTCTTTTTTCCTGAAATGCCATCTCAGAAATGCCTCTGTACTGTGTGTTGTTTCTCTATTGTCAGACCCAGTGTAAGACATAGAGTATATATAGCTGTGGGTACAGGGACATTAGGATACTCAGGGCATATAGCTAGCAAATGATGTCACCAGGCTCCACACAGAGGAGCTTTCTCTGTCTTACCCTGCCTCTATGAATTTGGGCCACTACTCAAAGCACTGGGCTGTGCTCTTTTGTAGAATCCCCAGAGCACCTTTGCCTGGTCCTCTCAGAGCCTGCCTTTTCCTGCCAGACATTTCACTGCCATTGAAAGTCATTCAAAGCTATTCCATGCTCAGCAGTGCTAAGAGGTCTAAATATGGTGCTTTTCTTCAAGGAGTTTACTGTTTTAATGAGATTACCTGTATGCAAAAAGTATGCATATTAATAGTGATCATTTTTAACCATTAGAAAGTAAAAAACATGAGAAAATTTGTTAAATGGCAGCATAGTAGTTACAAAATCACTCCTAGAAATGTTCCTCAACCAGGCTGTGCACCAGAATTATCTGTGGTGTTACAAAGTTAAGATTCCTTAATGAGGTGACTCATTAGCTCTGCGGGCACCAGGGAGACTATTCATTTTTGAGTCCTTCAGTCCCGACTCTGTCTTGCTTTAACAGGAGCACTATTCTCTTTCCCTTTCTCCCTTCCCCGTCACAAAGATCCCTCTCATTTGGTCCACTCTCGCCATTTTTACCTATTACAGAGTTAGTAGCCTATCAACACATCCTTTCCATTCTCAGCATGGAATTGCCCCCACACTTTATCTGCAGGATCTTAAAAAAATTAATAACTCTGATCTATGGATGGAAGTTGACAAAATGTGTACTTAAGAAGAACTGATAAGGAGTTATTGTGGTCTAGGTGAAAAAAAAATGAGGGCCTAAGACAGTGGCAGTGGAAATGGAGAAGAAATAACATATTGGAGGGAAATTTAGGAGGTAGAATTGACAAGATCTGAAGTGGTTTGAATATTGTTGGGGTAGAGAAGGAGACTTAGGCAATCCAGATGACTGAGTAGAAAGTGCATAAAAAAATAAAGGGAGAAAAGATGATCAATGGGCTTGAGTCTCAGAAGAGAGAGGAAGGGAGGGACCTCGAATGTACAGGGAGAGATTAACCTTGAACAGAAGGAATCCTTTTTTCCCTGCACTCAGAAGGAAAAGCTCTGGTGGAGAGGATCAGCCAGTCCACTTGCTTGACCTTCCCAGGGTTATGCTTTGCTGATGGGTGTGGTGCTGAGGTTGTAAGCTGCTTCCACTGCTTCTTTGTCCCACCCTTGCTTGGAGCTTGCGTGCTTCTCTATCATGGCAGAGTGGAAAGCAGTGAACTCCAAAGGAGAGCTTGGGAGAAAGCTCACTCTTTCCTCATCCTGACCTTCTCCGATGGTGACCCATTGGGAAAGTCATGTCCTTCTGCAGGGCAAGCCTGAGGAGGAAGGAAGTGGTGTCCCTTCAGCCTCAAGTTGAAGCTGGCTTAGCTGATCCAGTTTACAAGACAGCCTTCATTGTCTTTTATATATTCTGTCACTCTGCTTTTCAAAGTGTGCCTTATGGACTGGTGCCAGCCCATGCACCATGCAGACACAGGACAGAAATAGAGAGTGTTTATTTAGAAAACAAAAACCTGGTTCTTCACCACATGTAGCTTGAGAAGTATTGCTCCAGCAGACGGAACCCTGGAGGAAACCAGATTCACTGAAGTTAACTGAGTAAATATTTGGACTGCTTTTATGTGCCAAGCCCACTTGGGGCTTTGGGGATGCAATAGGGGACAAATCACACAGCCTCTCTGCTCCCAGGGAACTTAGGTCTCAGCGGGGAGAAACGGACAGTAAATAAAAGAGCAAATGAATAAACAAGAAAACAAGGTAAGGCGTAAGTAATAGGAAGAAATTAAAACCAGGAAAGTGATAGTTACTGGGTGCTACCGTGATTAAATGGTAAAGGAAATGCTTTTCTGAGGAGGCAACAGTTGGGCTGAGGCATGAAGGATAAGGACAAGGACAAGGCATGTGAAGATGTGGGAAAAGAACATTCTGCAGAGAGGGCAACTAGTGCAAAGGCCCTAGGTTGAGAATGGGTTTGACGTGGCTCAAGGGCTGTGATGTTGCTGTGGATGTGTGTGATCGTAAGAGAGGACTCACTCAGGCCAAGGCGGAGAGGTGACAGGAGCCAGATCTGCAGAGCTCCGCCAGGGTAAAGATTCTGGGTTTTACTTGATATCCACTGAAAAGCCTTTGGAGGGTTCCACACCTGACCTGGTTGGTGTTTTGAAAGATCACCCTGGCTGCTGTGTGGAAAACTCGTGCAGGGAGAAAGTGGAGACAGAGACCAAGCAGGAGGCTGGTGCGGGAGATAATGGCGGTGGGACCTGGAATGCGGGGTGGGAAGAGGTGGGGAGATGCACACATGCTTTAGAGGCAGAGGAGTGGGACGTGTTGATAGGTGGGATGTGAGGAAGAGAGAAGAGAATGAAATGACTTCTGGGATTTGGGTTGAGCCCACTTGGGTGGGCCGTGTGGCTGTTTGCTAAAATGGGACAACTAGGAGTGAGCAGATGGTGAAGGAGATTGCCAGGGCAAGAGTCTTGTAAGCTTTAAGCACCTTTTAGACATCCCAGCGTAGCTCTTAGGTGGAAAGCTGGAGTCTGCAGTGCAGGGGAATGGTTAGGGCTGAATATAAATATTTGGCAGTGGATGGTATTTTAAGCCACAGGACTGGATAGGATACCTAAGGAGTGTTTTGTGGTTGGGTGTATATGTGCTATTTTATTTTTCCAGTAATATTCAACTACTGAGGTAGGAAGAAGAAAGGACATATGATTGATACAGCTAGGGAAAACCTTGAGATAGAAATGTGCTTTTACTAGAGAAAAAAGAAGAAGAGTTAAAAGGGTAGTCATCTTGATTGATAAAGTAGATGTGAGGGAAGAGAAAGAACAGAAAGAATAGGCAGTATCTTTAAGGTATAAGATACTAAGAAATTAGTATTTGAAAAGCAGAGGGGTCCAAGTAGTGAGCTAGACCTGATTATGTTTATTGCAGTTTGATGAAATGAGGCAGAGATTATTGACATTATGGAGATTGAGGTCACTGGGTAAATTGTCTCGAATGTTGAGGTATAATGGAATAGTGGCTGATGAAATAGGGTGAAAAGAACAACTAAGCAATGACCAGGAAATGACAGTGACAAGGAAAGATTCAGTAGCTGATAGCTTGAGCTTGGACTGCTTGTGGGCAGGAGGGAAAGGAATTGGATGGGTGTAGCAAAGTAGGTGAGAAAGGAAAGATTTTCTAACAAAACTTGACTTAGCTTACTCAGATTTCCTGAACTGCATACTAGTCTTCTATACTTTTCTTACCTTTTCCAGTGCTACTAACATCACCCTCCCTCCAGGGCATTTGTGGTTGTCAGCTGAGCAGAAATGTGCTTAATGTCTTAGGAACCAGTCACATTCAAGGATGTGTCTGTGGACTTCACCGAGAAGGAGTGGGGTTGCCTTGACCCTGCTCAGAGGAAGCGGTGCAGGGGTGTGATATGGAAAACTACAGGAACTTGGTCTCAGTGGGTAAGACGTATGAGCGTGGACACTTACCCATTGTGTTCTTTGTTTCCTAATTCCTTTTTGATACAAATGATGTTTCCTGACTATTCTAAGCAGCTAAAGAAATTTACTTGGTAAGAATTGGAAAATGGTATTAATAGTGTTACTGAGTTTTCTCAGAAAGCGTACCTATTCCTTCCCTTGTAAGCCAGAGCTTGGGACTGATTTTGCTTTCTGCACAATCACCCAATCCCTGTGTGTTTCCCAGATGTGATCATTCAGTTGGAGTAAGATAAAGATCATTATGTAATGGAGAATGAACTCCAAAGATTATCAGCCATCATGGCAAGTTCCAAGCCCAGGCTACTCCATGAAAGAGAAGTCCCTTGATACATGTTCTGGGAATTCTCTGACATCTGGTCTGTGTACACATGTGATCTGTGTAGAGAGGGGGGCTTCTGGGACACTTTCTACATACTGTTCCACCTGGATCTATTCACTTACTCTGCCTCCTACCTCAGTAGAAGGTTATGGTCTTCTCCATGATGGCTCTCTTCTCTGTATTCTTATCTTTTCCCACGTTGCTCCCACATTGGTCTTGTATAGTCTTTGCTTAGACTTATTTTCATTGAGTATCCTTCCCCTGCCTTGTGGTATCTAGTTTCCATTGTTTCTTTTCTTAAATATTCAGGGATTCATCCATCTTCCCTCCTGAAAATGATCAAAACCTCATGGTGAGACTGTCATACCCTAGAAATAGATAAGAGTATAATTGATACAGTTTTTCTGAAAACACTTTGCATGAATCAAAGAGCTTTAAACATTTCAAATGTAGTATTTCATTTTTAAGTATCTGTCCTAAGGTACCAGTCAGTAACTCCAAGCGAAAATCATAAACAAAGATAGTCATTTTAGAATTATTTAAAATACTGAAAAATTAGTTACAAATGTATCACAGGGGATTGGTCAAATTATCATGGATTATAGAAAAGAAAGATATGTAGCCATTAAAATTGTGTTGATAAAGAATTTTTGATTGTAGGCCGGGCACAGTGGCTCACGCCTGTAATCCTAGCTCTCTGGGAGGCCGAGGCGGGCGGATTGCTCGAGGTCAGGAGTTCAAAACCAGCCTGAGCAAGAGTGAGACCCTGTCTCTACTATAAATAGAAAGAAATTAATTGGCCAACTAATATATATAGAAAAAATTAGCTGGGCATGGTGGCACATGCCTGTAATCCCAGCTACTTGGGAGGCTGAGGCAGAAAGATTGCTTGAGCCCAGGAGTTGGAGGTTGCTGTGAGCTAGGCTGACGCCATGGCACTCACTCTAGCCTAGGCAACAAAGCGAGACTCTGTCTCAAAAAAAAAAAAAAAAAGAATTTTTGATTGTATGGGGAGTTGAATGTACACCTACTTGGTTGAACCATGTTAAATTGCCTGCCATTTTGTAGTCAAAAGCAGACATTCTACAGAAACAACTGAGAAGAGGCCATCATGGTGCCTTTCGGGTTTTGTTCCCACATCAGCTCTTGGGAGGGCCCTGATTCTCTCCCCTCAGTGACCTGGTTCTCTACTATCAGCTAAGCCTGAAGAACAAGAAAGGGAAAGTGCTGTAGCGTGCAGTGGTTATCCCTAGGTGGGGAGTCGGGTATTTCCACATTTTTAAAGTAAATTTTTATTCTTTTAGAGACATGATCACAGCTCACTGCAGCCTTGAACTCCTGGGCTCAAGCAATCCTCCTACCTCAGCCCCCCGAGTAGCTGGGACTACAGGTGTGTGCCACCACGCCTGGCTCACTAATGGTTTTTACAATGTTGACCTTCTCGTAAAATTCTTTGTCTTATATGAAATCATAGTTTTCCTCTTTCTCCTGCCTTCTTTCTTATTCCTTTCCCCACAGATTCACTGGCTTCTCTTTCTTCTAACTTTGCAAATCCCAAAGGGCTCTTTGCTTTTCTGTCACAGCACGTACCACTGTACATAGCATTCTTTGACCTTTTTTTTATCATCACTCTCCCTCCACTAAAAGGAGACAAGCTAAATTTCTCCTTTAGAGAAATTAGGTGCTAAGGAATGAGATTTGTTAGATAGGATTGAGGTTTTGCGGGCCACAAACCGAGTGTAGTATGTAAGATTTTTCGTTCTCCCCAAGATCCAGTTCTCACCGTTGAGGGCAGCGGTGCCCCTATGAGAATGCATGCTGGGCATGCCCACTCATATAAGGAGCCATTACACATTTCATGGTTTCGGCTGTCCATTTACTTATTTATTTATTGAGAGATGGAGTCTTGCTCTCTTACCTGGCTAGAGTGCCATGGCATCAGCCTAGCCCACAGCAACCTCAAACTCCTGTGCTCAAGCAATCCTCCTGCCTCAGCCTCCTGGGTAGCTGGGACTATAGGCATGCACCACCATGCCTGGCTAATTTTTCAAATTTTTAGTTGTTTGGCTAATTTCTTTCTATTTTTTGTAGAGACAGGATCTCGCTCTTGTTCAGGCTGATCTTGAACTCCTGAGCTCAAGCAATCCACCCACCTCGGCCTCCCAGAGTGCTAGGATTACAGGCGTGAGCCACCATGCCTGGCCTGTCCACTTATTTTGATAACTCTAATGATAGGCAGAGCAGTAGTTACCCTGTTCTATACTGAGCCCGACCACTCCCGCCATTAACTGCAGGTAGCAGAAAGTCACCTACCCAATCCGGATGCCTCCTAACACACCAGTTGATATGGATCAGAGACTTTACATCTCCAGTCACCTGCCTGACCACAAAAACAATACGGATCATGAGTTCTACCCAGGAACAACAAAGAATTGAATGGTGCAGGTAGGGGTGGCGGGGATTATCTCTCCCCAACTTATAAAAATCCTCACAAAACCCCCTTCTGTGCTGACTCTCTTTTTGGACTCAGCCCACCCGCACCAGAGTGAATAAACCAGCCGTGTTGCTCCCACACAGCCTGTGTGTGAAATCTGTCCTTTGGGTCATTCATTCTTTCACCTAATATCTTTATTTCCTGTCATGGTATTAAACTCTATTCCCACATGTTTTCTTGGCTATGGGATATCTACACTGGAATATATAGCCACTTCATATTCAGTGTGTTGAGAATTTTAAAAGTTCCTTTTCTTAACCTCCTTTGCTGTATTTCCACTTTTGTCAGGATTAAAGTTCTTCCATTCCATTCCATTCCATTTATTTATTTATTTATTTATTTATTTATTTATTTATTTATTTATTTATTTATTTTTGAGACAGAGTCTCACTCTGTCACCTGGGCTAGAGTGTCATGGTGTCAGCCTAGCTCACAGCAACCTCAAACTCTGGACTCCATTGATCCTCCTGCCTCAGCCTCCCGAGTAGCTGGGACTACAGGCACATGCCACCATGCCTGGCTAATTTTTCTATTTTTAGTAGAGATGGTGTCACTCTTGCTCAGTTGGTCTCCAACTTCTGACCTCAAGCAATCCTCCTGCCTCAACCTCCCAGAGTGCTAGGATTACAGGCGTGAGCCACCGCGCCCGGCCAGTCCCCTAGTATAGAAATAGGTCTTTACTGCATTGTTCCTCTCTCCCCCATCCTTAGTATCTGCAAATTTATCGACAGTTCTTTTTTAACTTCCTTTAAATTTATTAACTCTCTTAATTCCCACAGATATCACCGTAAAATGGATCCATTTAATGCCTGAATTATGGTATAAATTGGCCAGGTTGTTAACATCATTTTTCATGCTCAAGTTAGATGTTGCAAATAGACTTGTCTCCCTTAAATACATCACTTACAATGTCACTCTTTGGATGAAAAGTCAAATTACCCTCAGCTGCTGTGTGTACATAATCAATATTTAGTAATTGCTGCAGAATTTACCAGAGAAAAAGTAGTTGTTACAGTCTTGTAGCAGAAACATTAAGTAAACACAACATAAATTTGACAAGTCCTGTGAAAGCTAGAACAGTGCTCTGAGAGAACCAAGGCATGTGAAGGGACAAGGGTGACGTAGGTGTTGCTGAGAGTGTCAGGGAAAGCCTCTGAAGTGACATTTAAACCAGAAGGTAAAAGATTAAATAAGTGACTGGGGAGAAGAACATCCCAGAGAAGGGAAACTATGCAAGGGGAGACCCAAAGACCTGGAAGGAAGAGCATGGCTAGAACACAGGGTACATCTGGGCAGAACAGAGTGGGCAGAAGTGGTGGGCATGCCTGGCTCATGACACTGACGCATTGGTAAAAAGTGGATCTATGCTACATTCATTGGATAACAGAGTGGTATGCTCTGAATGACCCAGCATCACTGTGACTGCTTTGTGGAGAATGATTTGCAGAGGAGCAAAAACAAAGTTGGAGATGGGTTTCCAGTTTCAAGCTCTGCCCTAGATTATTGTGTTTTGTTTTGTTTTTTGAGACAGGGTCTCACTCTATTGCCCAGATTAGAGTGTGGTGGCGTCATCATAGTTTACTGCAACCACAAACAATCCTCCTGCCTCAGCCTCCTGAGTAGCTCAACTGCAGGCATGTGTCACCACACTTGGCTGATTTTTTTAATTTTTTGTAGAGGTGAGGTCTTTGTTGCTCAGCCTCACTTTTCATTTTTAGTATTATAAAATTGAACATAGTTGTTCAACATTTTTGTTTTATACAAGTAAGACATAAAAGTCAAAAATGCAAACACAAGCATAATATGAAATAAAATCACTAATAGTTTGTGATTCTATATTTCTATGTACTCTATACATATGTATATATATTACAAATTTATGTTAAAATTTTATGAGATTATACTGTATGTATTATTCAATGTGCTGTTTTATGCAGTGTGTTAAGTGCTTCTTTATGTCATGTTAACTACCTATAAAAGGACCCCTTTTCTCATGTCAGTATTTTCTCCTAATGGTATGTATTTATTCTTCATATTATTTTAGATATTAAAAAACTAATATCACAAAGTTTCAGCACTACTTATGAAAACGTACCATTAATAAAATTCCTCCCCTATTTTCATATGCCTATGATTTCTACAGCCACTAGCCATTCCCAAGTACTGTACAGTAAAAGCTGCTGAAGCAATCCTTTAACCCTTCATTTCAGGCCACTTCATGACTTAACTGGCACAAACTGCACTCTTTTATCATTTTTAATTTTTCTTTTTGCCATTACTTTTGAAATTTGTAAACAAAATGATACATTCACCAGGGTAAAGCAAATTGTATTTACAAGCTTTTAATAAAAATGTTGCCCGGCCCCGCTGCTCCTGCAGCAGCATGGCTTCTCAGAGGCACTCCATGTTAATCCTGTCAGCTGTTCCCTACTCAGTTCCTCTTCATACATCCAAGCCATGTGCTTATACAGTTATTTCTTTTTTGTCTCTTTCTTTTAAAAGAATAAATGTATTCACATGGTTTATAAGAAGTATAAAAAGATGCACAATTAGGGGCAGGACCTCTTGGCTAGTCACACACATTTGGCTCGGATAAACCTCTTTAAAAGTTTCTTTAATGTCTGTAACTCCAGTCTACTCAGGTTCTGGTCATTGGCTTCTCCAGAGTATCTGTTATCTCATAAATGTCATTTCTCCATTACGCTTGGAAATCTGAAGAGTAAAGCCAGCAAGCTGTAATGCTGAGTGTATACATTTGTGATTTTAATTGATGACTGTCAAAATGTCCATCCGTCATCATGGGTGATACCAGTTTATATTCATGAGCAATTTTAA